CCACGGATACTCAGCCCAACCTGTGCAGCGATCTGTGCCTTCTAGGTAACTCCCCCCAGTTTCTATACTGGGCATGACGTGCTGTGGTATGGAATACCCCTTTGGCCAGTTTGGGTCAGGTGTCCTGTCTCTGCTTCCTCCTGGCTTGCCCTCCTCCCTGGCAGAGCATGAGACTGAGAAAGTCCTTGGTCAGAGTAAACATTACTGAGCAACAACTAAAAACATCGGTGTTATCAGCGTTGTTCCCAGGCTGAAAGTCAAAACCACAGCCCTGCACCAGCTACTAAGAAGGAGAAAAAATGACTGCTGTAGCTGAACCCAGGACACAAAAGGATCTAGATTTTTTGTATCAGTTCATATTACAAGAGTGAATTTAAACATGCTCAAAGTAATAGGGGAAAAAATACATAAATACAGATAGGATTTTACTAAGTTTTTATCTCCTTGTCATTTGGAAATCAGCAACATCTGCAGAACACATCCGATGACTCCACAACAGATATTCTACTTGGGGGTTTCAGGTTTCTTAAATCTATTCATCTCCTTGACTGAAGTTGGTCGCAGCTAGTATTATTAAGTATTTTTCAATTTCAACAATATAACAAGAGACTGGCCACTTGCAAGTGGTTACAGCCCACCTCAGAGTAAGTCTTCTCCATGCTAGTGGAGAAAATGTTAATTATAATATTCATATACTCTGCCAACTGAAGTGACTTTTCCACATGTATTTTACATGAGGAAAAAAAAAAAAAAAAAAAAAAAAAGAAAGGTTGTTTCTCTACTTGGTGAAGGAGTAAAATAAACTGATACAAACTGATGTGATTATAAAGATTCCACAAATAGCGCAGAAAGAAATCCCTTCTTTGAGGTGGAAACTTAATTGGTTTGCTAAGTAAGATATACAGAATAACACTTAGCATGTTTAGACTTAAAAAAAATCGTCAAAAACACATTACGTGTCATACATTACATTTTTGCTTTAGTGAGACAGAAGATAGACATTTTTACCAAAACTTTTACAGAAGATGGACATTTTTACCGAAACATTTACATTTAGACACAAATGTAATGCTACCAAAGCCTCGTATTTCAAAAATTACTATTTTTAGGCATCCAAGAGAACAGCAGACACTGTATTATTTCATAAATGCACTGACCTTGATTCTACTTAATCAAAAAAGCAAGGTGGTTAGGACAAGTTAAAAAGGGAGGGGGAGAATATATACTGCAACAAGATCACAAAGCAAATCAGAAACACAGCTGTATCATAATCATGCTAAACCTCGTTTATCTACTACTCAGATAAGACAGCACATTAGATGTGAAAAAAAGCAAGCTGTTTGTACTCTTTGACGAACATTTAAAAAAAATGAAGGGGATGAGAGTGACAACCACTTATGCTTCAATGATCATGGAAATGTTTTGTTTTGTTCTTTTTAAACTGAACTTTTCCTGGATATTTTGGATACCTAAAGCATACTCCAAGCCAAGCATCTTACTTCCATTTCCTTAGACTACCTCGTTTCTTCCATTCACCCAGAACTGCATTCCTTTGCACCTAACAGGCAGGTAGGAGGACACCCTCAGTCTCCCTGTATCTCATCCAGTGGCCTGTACCTCTTGCTAAATGCAAGGTTTTCTTCTGAGACAAAGAATTCTGGTCAAGATGGTTTTTGTGTGTACCCACATTTTACCACTTCTTTCCACACAAGACAGCCATTCCCTGTGGGTACTATCACCTAAGCCCACCTAGAAGCAGCACTGAATTACACCTCCAAACGTTGGGTTCTGGTGTACGTACAGTTCAATGCACCTAAGCCACATCTGAAGAGAAACGCTTAGTGTCTATGCTCCCTCTCTTAAATCTCTGCAGTGGGAAACATCAAGGGAGATGCCTCTGAAGGACATGTATTTTAAAGTGTCTACAGACACTGCTTTTATTTTTATTTACACACACACACGTGTATTTTGTAAATCCCTCAGAGACCCATGAACACCAGAGAAAAGTAACTATTCCTTTTTTTTTTTTCCCCTTACCTTATATTCTTCAATCTCTTCCTCATCAGCTTCTCCCTCATCTGGGTATTTACGTTTTGCATTTGGTGCAGAAGTATCATAAGCAGCCCTGTAAACATCCAAAAAAGATCTTCATATAAGATCATTTCTCTTTCCAGAGAGAACTTTTGAGAAATCTCTAACAATCTTCCTTGACTACATATTTCTGTTACAAGTCTGAAATTTTTTTGAAACTTTGAGTATAAGAAGTTGTTCTTTTCTCAGTATATCTGAGACCAGCACAACTTCTAAGGACAGGACTCCTGAAAACAAGTCTCAATTCCTCACTTTTCTGCTCTAAAACGTACAGCTAACTTTTACCAAAGCAGTGCATCTACAAAGTTAAGCCTGACCACACAAGAGGATGACTAGTACACGTGAGAATTACTAAGTAATAGGTACTCCTAGACACGCCTATTGCTCTGCAAGAACTTTTAAACTGCCCTGTGGCTGCTCTTAACAAAAGCATAAAGACTCTAGGACAATGCAGCAGGCATACATGAAATTCACACCTCAGTTTTGCTCCACGGTAACTTTTTAACATAGGAAGCAACAGTTAACCTTAATTTCCAAACTACTATTAAACGTGAATATCTAAACCGTACTAACCTTATTCGAAGGTCAGATCTGAGTAATTAAAGCATTTTCTTTCACTAGATTGTATGTTATCAAAAAACAGTAAGATTTTTTTTTCTTTTTGGAGCGCAACCCCTACCTACTTCAAAGGCTTGTATTACTGTTAAACCCCCCTCACTTCAGATAAACTTCACTGATACTGACCTGCACGTCTCTCTTGTCTCAGCGATCTCCCGCTGGTCATCCTTACTGTTCAGCACGGCACCGATACTGTCTGCATTTTCGGCTCCTAACTGAACAACAGGTAAGGCAAATTCATGCCACAGCTCACACTGACAAAAAAACCCAGGCAGTAACGGTCGAAGCCGAAAGGCCGCTCTTTAAGCCTGACTCCCCCCCCCCCCCGGCCAGGCCCGCCTGCAGGCGCCAGCAGCGACCACCTGTCCACCCTCAGCCGCGGGTCCAACCCGGGCAGCACCCCAGGACTCACCGCTT